AAGCCTCCGAATTTGGCTCAGGTCATGATCTCCTGGTTCCTGAGTTCCAGCCTGTGTTGGGCTCTATGCTGACAGCTCAGAGCCTGGAGCCTGCTTCAGATTCTATGTCTCCCTCCCTCACTGCCCCTCCCCCGCTCACACTCTGTCTTTTTCTCTCTCTCTCAAAAATAAACATAAAAAAAAATTATTTTTTAAATCAGGTTTTTCCTCTACTGATGGTACTTTAAAAAAAAATAAATAAAATAAGAGTAGGTTGGGCTCCCCAGAGGGCTGGGGAGAGGAAGGAGAAGGAAGAAGGGAGGAAAGGAGAAAGGCTGTGGAGGGGAGGGGAGGAGAGGGGAGGGGAGGAAGCTGTTCAGATTAAAAAGGAAAACGGAAGAGAAACAGAGGCAACAATTCCAAGTAATCAAGGGTTTCCCTCCTCAATGTAGAAGAGGTGGCTGCAATCCCAGGCCTGAGACCCTCCTAAAATTCTTCTGGAGGAGAGTCCCTGTGGTGATCAAAGGCTGACCTCACAACCAGGCACACCTCATTTTACTGTGCTTCGCTTTATTGTGTTTCCCAAACACTGCATTTTTCACATTGAAGGTCTGCAGGAACGCTGCCTCTGCAAGTCCATTGGTTCCATTTTCCAAAGCATTTGCTCCCTTCATGTCTTCGTGTCACATTTTGGTGATTCTCAAAATGGTTCTTTTACGTTATTACTTCATTCTTTATGGTGGCCTACGATCAGCGACCTTTGATGTTACTGTTGGAGCCTGTGACTGAATTGCTGCAATCTCATGATAAAACTTGAGGAGGTGAAGATAAAACAGAGGAGAAGTGCTTCTTAGGATGAGTAAAGAGTGGTTTCTTGAGATAGAATCTACTCCTGGCAAAGATGCTGTGAAGATTGTTGAAATGAAAACAAAGGACTTGGAATATTACATGAATTTAGTTGATAAAGCAGCTGTAAGGCTTGAGAGGATTGGCCACTTATGAAAGTTCTACTATGGGTAGAATGTTATCAAACAGCATCGTCTGCTACAGAGAAATTATTTGTGAAAGTAGGATTGGCATGGATATGGCAAACTACATTATTGTCTTATTTTACCAAATCGCCATAGTCGCCCCAGCCTTGGGCAACCATTACCCTCATCAGTCAGCAGCTACCAATGTGGAGATGAGACTAGCAAAAAGATGATGACTCATGGAAAGTCCAGATGACAATTAACGATTTTAACAACAAAACATTTTTTTATTAAGATACATAAATTATTTTTTAGGCATAATGCTGTTGTATACTTAATAGACTACAGTATCATGTAAACATAACTTTTATATACACTGGGAAACCAAACAAAATCATTTGACTCACTTTATTGTGATATTTGCTTTATTGTATGGCCTGGAAGTGTATCTGCAGTATCTCCGAGGTATGCCTGTGTCCAATTTAAACAACAGAGAAGAATCTCAAAAACATCAAGATGAGTGAAGAAAAAAAAAAAAGCCAGAGAAGTCTACATACCATACAATTCCATTTATATGAACTTCTAAAATAGACAAAACTAATCTATAGTGAAAAAGTAAAATAAAATCTGTGCAGCCATTGTCTCTGGGGGGTGAGGACACAAAACGACTAGGAAGGGGAATAAGGGAACTTTCTGGTTATATTCTGTATCTGATAGGAGATGGGATACACAGGGCTATGCACTTGTTAAAATGCAGTAAATGTACACTTTGGATTTGTACACTTAAGGATAGAAAAATTTTCCAACAAATGAAAAAGCTGTAAATAAATATTGACCTCTAGTTCATGTTATGCATGCATAAGTGTTTAGAGGTGAGATGTACTGATGACTTTAACTTACTTTGAATGTTCATATATTTGAGAAAGAGAGAAAGAGAGGTCATGTGTATGCGTGAGCAGGGGATGGGCAGAAAGAGAGAGGGAGAGAGGTTCCCAAGCAGGCTCCAAGCTGTCAGCGCAGAGCCTGACATAGGGCTTGACCTCACAATCAGAGAGATCATGACATGAGCTTAAATAGAGAGTCAAACACTTAATTGATTCAGCCACCCAGGGGCCCCTAACTTACTTTGAAATGCTTGGAAACAAGATGGTTTGACAGATGAATAGAGAGATGGACAGGTGGATAGGCATGTGATAAACAAGTACTATATTACTGCTAGAATCCAGGTGGTGGGCATATAGATGTTTGCTATAACGTTCTTTTTTGTTGCATGTTTGAACATATTCATAATACAGTATCAGGGAAAATGCATCCCCCTCCTGAACTCCCCACTTCACCTCAGGCCCCTTCCCTCCCTATCTGCTCCCCCCCCATATCCCCTCCCCTTCTTACTCCCCTCCAGTATCACAGGCTTCTTGGCTCCTACTTGGCAACAATATTTTCACTATCTTCCAGGCAAACCAGGCATAGTACAGGGCACTGGCCTGGATGGCTCCCAGTGTTAAAGAAATATTATTCTGACACTTGTTGAAATGTTATAGAAGACATTACAATAGGGGTCAAGATTATCCAAATAAGAGAGAAAGATTGAGCTCAACTCTGAAGACAGCAAGAACAAATGGGTATTTACAGCCAAGGTTTGGGGGCAAGAGGAGGATTTTTGCTACATTGACCTAACTGGACTCTTGCAAATGACTTAGACATCAAAGGTGGGGGTGATAAACTTGAACACATGTCAAGGTAGGAGGATTCTCACTAGAACAGGGTTAGCAGGCCAGCTGGGCAAGACCCAGGCTTAGTGGAGAGGCAGCTCAGAGGAGCTTCACTAAAGCTGGGTCTGTTCTTGTCACTAGGTCCAGCTACTCTGTTACTGGCAGAAAGGGGAGCCAGGGAGCACTGTGGAGAGGGCAGGGCTGCCCTCAGTGGCTTCAAGGTCAAGATCCAACGCCCAGTGCACCAGTTTCAATGCTATCCCAGGCAGGATCAAGAATCCCTCTGCTGCCCTGTGCAGATTTCTAAAGGAACTGGAATTCAAGTTTGCACAAACACTGAGAGCAATGTCAGAGCAGTAACCACACCACAGAATTGGAAAGGAAACTGACCACCCAGATCTGCCAAGGGAATTGCTCAACCCCACTCAGATCCATCCTGTTTTCCTTGTGGCCAGGGCTGAGGCCCAGAGAGACTCCAGAGCACCCAAAGGTACAACCCTGTGTCCCTGGACTCCCTGTCCCTGCCTCCTTCCTCTTGGCTGGTGCTGCAGACAGCAGAGCTTCTCTGGTAAGTGTGCTCCTTGTGAAATTAAATGGTAACTTGCAATGTAAAGCAATGGGGACTGTTTACCTGATGGACCCTGGGCAAAAGCTTCCAAAAGATTCTCTGTCTCCTTATTAAATGCAAAACAGATATTGGCCATTGCACTGTCTCTTGCCTCTTTCTACAGGGGCTGCCAGCAGGCTTTCCCCACCCTCAGAAGATAACCACTCCTGCTCAGAAGTATCTGACCAGGGCAGCCCTCTCTTTCCCTGCTCTGTGAATCTCCTCCTTTCTATATAACTAAAAGAGCCTTTGACCACTTCCTGCAAAAGATATCCTGGAGCCCAGACCTATACAGTCCTGAACTGGGGGCTCTGTTAATCCATACGGTGCCCAGCAGATGATGTCCTCTCAGTATCTCTCCCGGATCTTGGCCAGACTTCTTTTCCTTTAGGTTTCAGCTGAAATGCCTCTCTTCTCCAAGAGGTTTCCTTGGCCATACTTAGTAGCACCTTTCTCTATCAAACCCTTCTATTTCACTTTCAACAGAGCAGGTATCATGCCCTGATCCTAATTACTGATCATTGCCTCCCCACCCCACCCCCACACACCCTAAACCTGTACTGTGCAACATCACAGCCACATACATTCATTTGATCATGGGATGCTTGAAATGGGACCAGTCTAAATTGACACCTGCTCTGAGTGTAAAGCATACACACAGGATTCCATATACTTAACATACACACAAAGATACACATAAAATATCTCATTAAACAATTGCCAGTGTATGTTGAAATAATATTTTGGACATATTGGGTGAAATAAAAAATAGTAAGCTTAAACTCACCTGTCTTTTTACTTTTAATGTATTAGAAAATGCAAAGTCACACACGGTTCACATTGCATCTCTATTGGGCAGTTGCCCTCCGACATGTCCAAGGTTCACTAGCCCGTCCTCAAGGTACAAACCCGAGACCTCGTGGCCAGAGAAAAGTCCCAAAGATTAGTCAGTTGAATAAATAAATGAACTGTGAAAAAGATAACCCAATGACCTTTTTCCAAATAAAGGTTAATTCATTTATGTTTTGCAAAAGAGTTCCCCAGAACAGAAGGGAGACAGGCTCTTCCTTTGTCTCCGTCCTAAACCTCCCCCCTACTCTGGGGATTCCTAGACTGAGATGCAATGCTCAACCCCCAGGAAGCCAGAGCGCTATTTCCCCCTTCACAGGAGACAGGGCTGGGGGTTACAAGCACTGCAGGCTCTGGGAGGAGTGACACCTTCTGCAAGACCGCAGTGAGCTAGGCTTGGGAGCCCTCCGTCCAGAGCAGAACTTAGGGCTGGCTGGGTGGAGCTAGACTCAGGGACAGGGCAGGCGCGATGGGAGGAGGACTTAGGTGGAGGGAGAGAAGCTGAGGGGCGGGGCTGGGAGGGCCAAGGCTAGCACACTGTAGAGGGGCGGGATTTAGATGGAGGAGAGACGCTGAGAGGAAGGGCGGAGCTTGGGGGAGAGAAAACAAACCTAACCCGGAGCATAAGGCCAGAAGTGCGGTCAAAGGGGCCCGAACTAAGGCTAGAGGGCTGGGACTGCCAAGGAGGCGCTAATACAGGAAGCAGGGGAAGTTAGGCTTAACATCCGGGGAGAGAGAGCCTGTAGATCATGAGGTGGAGGAGGGGAGGGGGGGGAGGTGGGGTGGGGTGGGGTGGTAGGTGGCGTAAGTACAGGAGCTGGGAGGACGGGGAGGCCCAAGGGTGGGGCTGAGGGAATAAAAGCGCGGCGGCCGGCTGGGCTTTTCTATCTTACTTGACCTGCCTTACGGCATCCCAGCGCGAACACACCATGGCCGGGTCCTTGCGCACCCCGCTGTTCCTGCTAGCCGCTGTGGCCCTGACTCTGGCCCTGGCTGTGAGTCCCGGGACCGGCAGGAGAAACAACAAGTCTGCACTGGTGGGCGCCCCGTTGGACGCCGACGTCAACGAGGAGGGCGTGCAGCAGGCGCTGAACTTCGCCCTCAGCGAGTACAACAAGGCGAGCAACGACGCGTACCACAGCCGTGCGATGCGGGTGGTGCGTGCCCGAAAGCAGGTGCGTACGAGCCGGGCTTTGGGGGCTGCGCGGCCTGAGTAGAGGGCGCGGCTGCCTGACGTCACCAGCAAGGACCCTATCTGCCGGCCCAGCGTTTTGAGTCAGTCTCCGAGCCCCTAGGGGTTGGGCGGGGACTACAGACGTTCCCTTGCATCTCAGAGGGCGGTGTCCCATGTCTCTCTGGTCCCTCACAGCCAGCCCTTCGCATGCATGTCTCCGGGAGTGCTAGGGACCCCGGTGGCACACTGGGTCACTCCCATGGCCTTCATTTCAGGTTTCAAGCTCCAAGTCTGGCCAGAAAGCTGTGGTGCGGGGGTCAAGGCCCCTGTCCAGTCCCACTGTGTCCATGCCCCAGCCTCACGGGACACGGGGGCCCAGTGTGAGCTGTCACTAAATGACCACGAGCAAAGGAAAATCAGACCCCATGCCCAGCTGCCCTCCTGGCTTTGCCACTAAAGGAGTTTTTTAAAGCACTTTTTCCTTTTAAGTTTAACTTTTCAGACTTACAGAGCAGTAGCAAAAATAGTGCATAAAATCCTTGTAGATTCTACAGCTAGATTCCTTGTATGTTAAAATTATGCCATTTTCCTTTCCAGTAGGCACATACATGTGTGTATGGGGATACATGCATTTGTGTTTTTGAACCTTTTGAGAGTGAACACTTCTCTATGTATTTCCTAGAAAGAAGGGCATTTTCTGAGGAGCGCACAATAACACTTTGGAAATCAGAATCAACACTGACAATTATCTAAAACTCAGACCTACACAAATGTTACTGGTTGTCCCACTGATGTCCTTTATGGCCCAGGCCTGCCAGATCATGTGGTGCAGGCACTGTCTTGCAGCCTCCTTTACTCTGGAGCATTCTCTCCATCTATGACCTTGGCATTTTTGAAGGGTCCAACCAGTTGTGGTGCACACTGGGGCTCAGTTTGGGTTGGCCACATGTTTTCTTGAGATGATTGGGGCCATGCAGAAGTGACCTGTTCTCCTCTGAGTCTCCTCTCGATAGATGCCACTAAACTAACCTGGCCTCCATGTCCTCATCCTGCAATGGAGTTTGGGGCCCACGCCAAACATCCTCCCTCAGCACCCAGAGGTTGTCAGCAAATGCAGATGGGTCAGTGAGCTGGCCTGTGGTACCCAGTGCATCCCAGAGCAAAGGGTCTGGCATATGAATTCAAATATGTCCTGAGATACTGGAGGAAAGGCTCCTGGAGGGTTGCTTCCCTCCACAGGTCACGTCCATGGGGAGCAGCCTCTCGTGTGTGCCATCACATTCCCTAACCTGATATTGCCCCATCATTGCCAACATCCAGAGGCAGTTGAGTGGATTGCTCCTGACCCCTGCCTCTGCTAGCCTGTCCTGGAGTTCTGGTCAGATAAAGAACATAGCCATGGGAATCCAGAGAGGGGTGGGAGGGAGTGTGAGGAAGGGGCACTGTGGCTCTGCGGCTCTGTGTTCATCCTCTAAGGAGGGTAAGGATTTGGGCCAGCTGGCTTGGGGTCCATTTGAGAGCAGAATAGAGCCTCACAGCAATGAAAGCCTGGTAGTGCATGCCAGCATTTAGGACCCATGCACCTTCTCTTAAAACTTCAGAAGGTGGGCCCAGAACAGACCATTTCTCCTCCTGTAGCATTTGGCTGGCACTGTGTCCTTTAGATGGGACATGTGCTCCCTGTTCACTAGTTTGCCCCCAGCCTGCCCCTCTCCAGTGTGACACTAGCTTGGCGCCACAGCTCGCTGGGGTAAGTGACAGGAGAGAGATCATGGGACCTGCTTATGGTTCTACCAGGTAGGATGTGGATCCTGGTCTCGGGCTGCCATGTTTCTCCAAGTTCTAAGGAGGCCTGTCTGTGGGATGCCATGTGTGAGGACAAGGTTTGCCTCTATCCTGCAATCTCCAGTGTAAAAGACAGGCAGGTGTATGACACACTTCAGAATTATTTCCGTCAAAAATCACACTTAAAATATAGACATTCCAGGATCAGTGTTTTATTGATTGGCCTAAACTGTGTGTGTGTGTGTCTGTGTGTGTATGATTGAGAGAGAGAGGGAGGCATGTCATTTCTTACTGTGAAATAAAGGAATAAATAAACCTTTGTTACACTGAGGTAATTTGAATATCTATGGGGTTGATCCTATTAATTGGAATTTAGCTTAATTGCACCCATCACATGACTGTCTTTCAGAACCGAATCTACTCTGTTTGCTCCAGCTCAGAGCCCTCACTGTGGGCTTAGTTCCTGCCCTGGTTCCTGGCGCTGGAGTTTATTAGCGGACTCTGTGCTGGCTCCCCAGAGTGTGCCTTCTCTCCTGAACCCAGTTAACAGAATTTTGGACCCTGGCTTCCACCTTCCATCTTCCTGCTTCTCCTGCCAGGCTGCCTGAGACCTTCTGGAGCCCCTCTATGAACAAGTTACAATGAGAGTCTGGGCACAGCAGCTAGGCCAGCCCTCAGGAGGTGGCTGTGGTTTCTGGGATACCTGCTTTGGCAGCAGTGAATGCTGGTGTAAGGGCCCAATAGCAGGAAGGTAACTTGTGTGAAATTGGGAGGTATTGTAAACAAATCCTGCTCTCCTGGTATGCAGGTCGTGGCTGGGATGAACTACTTCTTGGACGTGGAGATTGGACGAACCAGATGTACCAAGTCCCAGCCCAACTTGGACACCTGTCCCTTTCATGACCAGCCACACCTGATGAGGGTATGTGCCTGGAGGAGGCAGCCAAGCACGGCAGAGGGGTGGGGGTGAGCCTATGCCTGTGGGATACATCATGTGTGATTGCTGGGGGTGGGGGTGTGCCAGTGTTGGGTGCATGGAATACATGTGTGTGCACATGACTAATTTGACTTTCTAAGTGGGTTTTAGCTGGTGAATAGGGGGCACCATGTATGTGCCTGTGGGATAAGGAGCAGCTGTGGGGTGTTTGCTGGAGAGAGAGAGAGGAAGAGAGGTAACCCCTTAATCTCAGCACCAGCCACCTGAACGGATTAGAGGGAATCAGAGGCCTATACGCAGCCAAAACCCTCTGGTGCTGCCCTGCCCACCAAATACTAGTCTCCCTCCTGGGTCTTGGCCTCTGGGGAAGGCTGTGTACTGCCCCCATACCTTCCCCATTCCCTGCAGCTTTCCTGTGTTTCCTGAACTCTGATCCCAGCCCCTGGGTTCTTCCCTCTGCACCTGTCCTAGTGCTGGCCCATTGGAGGTCAGGGAACTTGGGGGCAGTTCCCTGTCCCTTTGGGGCTCTGGAGCCTTCCGCAGGCTGCTCCTTAAAGGAATGTGCAGGAGGAACGAGGTAGTGGAATCCTGCTGGTTGGAGGTAAGGGACAGGATCCCATCTCTTGGACTTCAGGGATGGGCATGGTGCCTGAGAAGTCACTGCAGAGCCCTGCTTAGTGTGCTGGGGCTCTGCAAGGTGGGGGTTGAGACTCTTGCCACTGTTCTTTACCTGCTCTTCTGACATCTCGAGGCTGGACTTGTTCCTTTTGCACCGTAACCCTAACTATCCCTCTCTTTTCCCTTTCACAGAAAACGCTCTGCTCTTTCCAGATATACACTGTACCCTGGATGGGCAAGACATCCCTGGTGAAGTCCAGCTGCCAGGATGCATAGAGGACCCTGTGACAGGCTGGGTTGCTCTGACCCCCTTCTCCCACCCCGCTCCCCCCTTGTAGAACTCCTAATCCTTGGAAGGGTGGCCCTGTCCAGGTGATGTCCCCTCAGTGTGCTGGTCCCAGGAGACAAATAGAAAAGGGTTCTGGGGCATTTTCTGAACAGCTAAGTGACTGTAACTCCTTTCTTTTAATTGTTTTCCAAATGTACTAGTATGTAGTGCACTTGTTCTGCTCTATCTTCATCAATAAAAAGTAACATCAGCTATCTCTTGAGTTATTTTCTGTCTCGGGAATATACATATAAAAAGGATTTGGGCAGTGTCTTTATGAAGAGTTCCTAGTCCCAACTGATTTTAGAGGATAGGCAAGGATCTGAGAACTGACAGTTTCCCTGGGGTGTGTGGGGGGTGGGTGGGGGGGCGGTGGTGGAGGCATGCTGCCACTTTGAGGGATGATTGAACCAGGAGCAGCCTGGGAACCCAGCCCTTAGCTGTAGTGACTCCTGGTAATCACAGAGGAGAGGAGGGAAACTAGGCTGCTGATCCTGAAAACTTGGCTGCTGTGTTTGAAAAGAATTCAGATGGTGAGCAGGAATGGGCAGGAGGGAGGGGTCAGATGGAGCCCATAGCCCAGGGCCACCCTGAATAGGGATCTGCCAGGTAATAGATTTCAACCACATGTGCTGAGTTCAACACACTCCTGGGCTGATTTTCACTAGTCAAGTTCTCTACAGACTAGATAAATGATTTATGTCTACTTCTTTCTACAAAAGACTACAAGGCACCTCCAGTAGACAAAGACAAAGTATTATGTGTGTATGTAACTATTGGGGAAATTCCAGTCAGAATCAAGGTCAGAATCCAGAGTGAGATGAGACTGAAAGTAACACCTTCTTCAGATATATTGTGGGAAGTAGTTTGTAAATGGTTTTACACCCTGCCCGTTTTCTGGGGTCCCATTTAAAGTAAGTCCTTGTGTAGTAGAGTTTCGTATAAGGGTTGTAGAATTGAAACCATAAACTGGATTGACAGAGTGGGCTTGCTTCTTAGTCTGAAGACAATGTAATTAACCGGGAATGTTACCCTTAGTCCACCATGATTCTGTAGACTAATGGATACCTTAGGACCCCAAAATAGAAATGATCTAGTCCTAAACAAAAGAGAACCAAAAGCATACCCTACTCCCTGCACTGTCCTTATATTGACCGTTTCCTGCAAAGGGGTGAAGCCCTCTCAAGGGGCTAGTAATGTTGGGGCCATGTTCCCCAAATCTTCCACACACACCGCAGCATGAATGATGATCTGGCTGGCTCATTGCCATGAACACAGAGGGTGAAATGACAAAGGGGACCCACCCAGATGGTCCTGAGTGCCAGCACCCCAGGGGCGGCTGCTGTACCCAGCAAAGGCAGAACTCAGCACAGTGCTGGGAAGGAGTGGGGATTGTCCCCATCCTGTGTGCCTCCTCCAGGTGATTAGATGGGCCCCAACAAGATTATGTGCCTTGTCTCATGTTCACCATTATGGAAGAAGATGCACAATTGCTAAGAGAATCATTTGAAATGCAGTTCACAGTGCACATTGCCCGTGCACCACTGTCTTTTATGTAAATTTTCTCAACTCTTGTCAATTGCAGCTGGGCCACCTGGAACACATCCTTCTACTTTGGACTGAAATAAAGATACTGTGACACCTGTTTGCCAAATGGCCAATCATGTGTGAGACAATAAGTGTGAACTCTGCAAGCACCAGTCATAATTCTTTCAAAACAAGTTATGAAACCATGGGTTTTTGCTTCCATAATCCTGCACTTTAAGTTCCAAGTTTGGAACACACTTTGGATTTCAGTGGCCTCTGTGTCTCCTTGATTACAATCTTTAAGACCCCAAATAAATGCTTTGGTTGTTTTACAGTCTCTTCTCAATGGACACCACACTTAAAGAAAGGGGCTGGGATCAGAGAGACAAAGCACTGTGCACAGGCCTCAAGAGGTGGAGTGTGAGCCTGGACATGGTCCCTGCAGGGCTGCACGGACTTGGGGATATGTTGAGAAGGAGGGGTCCTGGCAGAGCAAACTACACAGAAGTGGTGCCCACAGAAGAGGCCGTGGCCTCCATGCAGGGTCTTCCCTAACTTGGTGAAGAATCTTAGGTTACATGCTAGCACCATGATGAAATGCTGATTTCCTATAAAGCGATCCCTTTGTGGGCACACTACTATTCTCTTGTAGAAGTTGGGGGTACAGCCAAGCTGTACACACAGTTTGGCTCATCTCAAATTCTCCACTCATTCTCCCACTATCCAGGCTTTGTGTTCCACAGCCCACACCACATGAGTTCAGGTTGGTGGCACCCTGGGTGCCCCAAGGGGATGGGCAGGCCCATGGATGCCACAGCCCTGAGGCTTTGGGTGAAGTGGTGTGATCAAGAAGGCCCTATGACCTGACATCACGTAGGCCCATATGTCCAGGGGTGGAAGTACAGCCCCTGCAACTTTAATCTGCATGATTTTTTATATTTATTTACTTTAAATATAACTGTAAGTATAATTTATGTAAAATTACTTACATAAATAGTTTAGCATAGTGCTTGGCTCTAAGCAAACACTCAATAGGTTTTTTTTATCTTTTTTCATTGATCTAATTACATATTGTGGTTTAAAACATGGCATCCGTAATCTCTGACACTCCTTGTATTCAGAGATAAGGTCTGTGAGCTGCATCGTTACTTGGGGAACATCACTGAAAAGATGTGACTGAGGATTAACCTGTGAGCTGGACCTGGGCCCTTGGAGGCTCCTCAACCCCTCCCCTGTCCTTGGAATGTGGGTTCCGCTGGACTTTTCTGCTCCCAGACACTGCTCTAAGGACATTGCCTGGAGATGGTGATGTGGTGCTGAGGCCATCTGGATGGTATATGTGACTGACACCAGTTAGGGCCTCTTTTATAAACTTTTAAGATTTGCCAGGTGGGTGTAGAGTCTATTCATCTCGGTGCCACCTAAGAGAAGCCTCATAGGTGAGTTCTCTTTGCTTATTAAAACTGCCATCTATTAACCTGGAGGGACCTGCTTCTTTCTCGGCCTCTCCCTGCCCTTTGAGTACAGGGACAGCTTCAGATTACACCAGGGAAGCTTCTAAAAGGGTTGTGAACCACCACTCTAGGTGAATTTGTAGAGGCTTCAAGTGAATACTGCAGAAGAAGTGACCCTGTGACCTCCAAGGCAGGATCAGAGAAGGTCCCGGGGCTTCTGCCAGTGTTCCTGGATACCTGCCCTGTGGGATGCCAGCATCCCTGTAAAGAGCCTGACTCCCCAATTCCTTCATGTTGGAGATGCCCCCTGCAGGTGCCCACTTGACACACCCCAGCTGGGCTCCCAGCCAAAGTTGGTATCACCTGCTGCTTAAGTGAATGGGTCACCATGGACGTCCAGTCAAACTGAGCTTTTGGATGACTGCAACCCTGGCTGTTATCTGACTGCAGTCACATGACATCCCCCAAGCAAGAATTACCCACCTGTTGCCTTCCCAAATCCCTGGTCCACAAAACCATGAGCAAATGGTTGTACCATACCTCCAAGTGTTAGGGTGATTTGTTACACAGCAGTAGTGTCTGGGACACACCCATGCGTGTGTGTGTGTGTGTGTGTGTGTGTGTGTGTGTATGCATACACACCTGTATATTGAATGGGGTGAAGCCCAGGGACCCTAGAATCAGATGCCTGGGTGAAAATGCCATTGGCTGTGTGATCTGCCTAAGCTCCTTACTCTCCCTGAGCTTCATTTGTTATCAGCAAAGGTACAGTAGGAGTCCCTCCTCATGGGATTATGGGAATTAATGTGTTTATATCTATACAGCACTTCGACAGTTCAGTTTGCTACATTAATACATATTTTTATTCCAGTCAGAATGTTAATAGCTTTATTTATGTGGTAGAGTTTAACTTAATTTTTCAAATAAGCTGTGTGTGTGTGTGTGTGTGTGTGTGTGTGTGTGGTTTCCAAGAACTGCTTCCAAAAGCCATCATTTGTATAGCAAATTCCCATAGCATCCTGTCAGTTTCTATGTCTCTGTCTTAAATCTAGCTGGGTTTATTTTCCCTTGCCAACTACTCTGTTTTAAATAGAATATTTTAATATCTGTTAGGTAATGACCATTCTCTTCATTCTTTTCTAAATCTTATTCCTGAATATGTTTATTTATTCTTCTTGATTAAAATTTATTTCAAGCTCAAAAAGTAGAATTGCTGTGTTTTGAACTAGCACTATATTGAATTTATATTTCAATTTTGGGGAAAAAGACAAAATTTAATATTTTAGCTTTTCATTTTAGAATGTTGGATATTCTGCAATGTATTTATGTTTTTATTATGTCCTCTGGTACTATAAAGTAACTTTTTATGCATCTTTCATATTTCCTGGGAAATCTATACCCAGGAATAGATTTATATTTTTGCCAGGAATATTTCCCTATTGTATCTCTCACCAGTCACTACTGATATAGATGAAAATGATTCATTTTACCTGATTTCCTTGTATCTTTGTGGCTCATAATTTATAGACACTTAGAGATCTGGGGTTTTATTGTCTATCACTGCCAGCAGATGAAGGACAGGAGTGAACTTGCACAAGGTGAAAAGTGACAAGCCCCATTAGAAGATGCAGCTAGAGGAAAAGGCCAACCCTGTCCCAAGCCTACAGGTCTGAGCTAGAGAGACGCGTACTTGGAGACAATAGTAAAAACACACATTCCTTTTCATTCTGCTCTGTTATGCTAACAAACACACATAAAACTGAGCAGCAGTGCCTCAAATGATAGCCAAAATAAGAAACAGATTCTCTTCAAATCACCTATATCTGGTCTCTCACCCTTGGCACTGGGGCTCCCAGTGGGTCACTCCAGGATCACAGTTCCTGAAGTTTATTCAGCCCAGGGTCAGATACACTCAGGGGTCATTTGGATGTCAGCCAGGGTGTCCAGCACCCTGAGACCAGGTAAGGTGTGTACATAGTCTCAAGTGTGACTGCACATGCAATCATGTGGAGATCTTGACAAATACTGCCGTCTGGCACCACTCAGAGAAATTCTGACTTACTACATCCAGGCTGGACACTAGGATTTTGTAATATTAACCAACTGATTCACCAAGGAATCAATGAACTATAACCCAATTTGATTTCCTGTCAAAGTGCAATTGTTCCTAAAACATCTGCAAAGGGCAGCAAGTCGAGTGGTCCTGTCTCAAGGTCACACCTGCATCTAAACAT